CGGCCGGGTCAAAGGAAGTTCAGCACTTACTCTCCCCACTCAGCACCCTGGAGTCTTAATGCACAAGGCCTGCGTCTCCCTTGGTAGGAAAGAGCCTTCGAGCCATCTTCCGCACGCGGTGGGCGCTAGTGTGTGTCCCCGCGCTGGGAAGGCTGCGCTGAGAGTGAGGTCTCAGGTCCGCCCTGGTGTTGAGAGTTCGAGTCCCAGACCCCGCGCTAAGGAGTAGCCAGCTTCTTGACTCCCCCAAATTTCGAGGCCCTAGAGTCACCCCGCGGCGCGAAATTAAGAAACTTACTTGTTTTGTCATGGAGTCAATGAGGCGCACGTAGAAATCTTGCTCCGTCCTTATCCCTGGGGAGGAAGGGAGGGGGATAGGGGAACGAAGGAAAAGTAAGTGAGAGAGGATCTGCCGCAAAACAAAACAAACAAACAAACAAAGAATGGGGCTCCAAGGCGTATGCAATGCCTACAGTCCCGAAGAAGCACAGACAGGACACCACCACCCGCCCTCTCCCCAGTGCCCAGAGAGGGGCCAGTCCCCAAGCACGGCAGCTGAGAATGTGGCAGGACCCCCACCTGGCTTCTCTCCCTTTTCTCGGAGGGAACCCCTCCGCGCGCTCTCTGGGACCCAGCAAGGCCACGACCGCTCTAGCACCCTGAGCCAGAAGGACTTAGGGCCTGGAGTGGGGGCTGAGCCACGAAAAAAGGCCTTCGGAATGGGAGGAAGAAAGAAAGTGGCCCTGCGAGGGCCGGGGCTCCACACCTGGTCCCAGGTGTGCTCCAGCCCACTACGGCCGCCTTCCGGCTACTCCGGGCCTCCTCAGGTGAAACCTCCTCAGGCGAAACTTAGGAGAGGCCGGGTTACCCCGAGGACGGTGGACGACTCTGCGTGCTCAGGGCTCTGGTCCACCTGCATCTTCCCGCGCACCCTGCCTCACCCAGGGCCCCGGGGCGCCGGCGCGGACCCGATCGGAGCCTCACCATTGCTGTAGAGGAGCTGAAGCCGGTAGTGAATCCCGTTATTGGTCTTTTCGCTGTTGGCTTCCTGGGTTGCAGCAGGACGCAAAGACACAACAAGAGACGCAGGAAAGAGGTCGGCGTGAGCGAGTGGACCGACTTCGAGGCAACTTTCCCGAAGACGGGACCCCCGTCCGGAAACCGGACAGGCCCGGGAGCAGCAGAAATTGCGGCCAACTGTGATCCCTCTGCCGCCCTCCCGACCCTTAATGCTCCCTCTTCCCTTCCAGAAAATTCCGCGGGGCCTGGGGGCTCGGGCCTGGGCCAGCAGAGGCAGGAGCCGCGCGTGGTCGCGCGGTTGAGGGCGGGTTCATCCCAGTCGCCCTTGACTCCGGAGTGCGAAGCCGGGCTCGCCTCTCTCCAGCTCTGGGGCTCCACGCGAACTTTTTTGGAGCAGAACCTCAAGGATGAGGAGCCCGGGTTCGCCCAGGACGGGAAGTGGCTTGGGGGACCCCGCTCAGGAGTGTGTTATGGATGCTTTGCCCTCGCCGAGGAGCGCGCCTCGCGAAGCGGCTGGGCCTGCTCCCCGGTCGGGGGCGAGGGGCAGCGGCGCTGCGCCCACTTACTTTTTCCTTCTCCACGAACCCCACAAAGGCTGTCCTCTCGATCTCCACGGGCTGGCCCTGTCTGTCGTAGAGGGCCAGGACGAAGTGGAAGAAGTTGGATTTCCGCAGATTGGAAGGCGGCTGCTTCTCAAAGTGAGCCCGGGCCAGACCCACCCCGCTGTGGCCAAAGACGCAGAGTTAGACGGCTAAGCGGGACACCGACGCGCGACCCTTTGTCACCCCTTACACACGCGAGAACCCTCAAACATCAACCTCCTCTACCCCCCCAGGACACCCAGTAGGCGCCCTACACTCCCCCTCCGGCGCCCCGGGCCCACCCGGCGGCGGGACATGCGTGCTCTCGCGTGTCCAATCCTCCCGCTGAGCACAGGGCGCGCCCCCCGAACTCGCGGAAGAGCCCGGGAAGTTTTGTTTGGGTTTTGCGCAGGAGATAAAACCCCGCAAGCATTTACTCCGACCGGACACGCGCTGCGTGGGAAGGAAGAAAAGTGGAGGTGGATGCGGTGAACCCGCGTTCGCGGAATACAGCTGGTCGTTTATAACTTGGGAGGGAGGGGAGCATGGGAACTGGTCCCCGCCACCCCCACGAATCTCCCACCTCAGCTTAGAGGGCAGGTGAGGATGGATGGGGAACAGGCTCAGCTTCTTGAAGCCGAAGCCATCCTCCAGGAAACCTCAAGTGCCCCCGCCAAGCGCGGACGCTAGGTCTCGGGAAACCGCATGCCCCCTCCCCAAATAAAGCAAGTGAAAAAAAGGATCTGAGGGTGGGGGACTCAGAGCTGTCAGGGGTGGTCGCTGTGGAACAGGGAACTGGGGGTGTTTTTAAAAGACCAGTCCTGACAAAGTTTCGCTGCTCCACAGAAATCCTCACACTCAATTCCAGAAATCCTATGGACCAGGGGCGCCGACCGAGCGCGCCCGCGGGGGAACTGGAGGCTCGGGTGCCAGGGGCGCCGGGAGGCCACTAACAACCCGACCTGCCCAACACAAGGGCGCGCTCACACACACGCACACGCACACATACACACACTCTTTCGCTTCCCAACCCAGTTACCCAATTCACTCTCACTACTAACCACCCCCATCCTTGTACTCAGCGGGGATGGGAACAGGGTTGCAGGCACTTGTCCCCTGCCCGGAGAAGATGAGGATGAGGTAATTAGTCATCTTCCTTTTTCCCCTTCCGCCCTCTCGGAGTCCGATAGGGCTAGGGGCCGTCAGATCTCCTACTCCCCCAAGCCCAGCTGGTGGTCTGGAAAAAAAAAAGACCATTTCTCACTTGGGACCAGGAGTCCCCGGAAAGTGTGATAAGAGCGCCCAGAAAAGTTCCCGCACGTCAATCTCCAAGGGCAGTGCCTCCAGGCCACACAGTCCAGCATCTCAGGAACTGAGTGGGAGAGGGGCTGTAAGGGACCATGGTGACAGAGGGTGGGGAAGACTTTTAGGAGATGTCAGAATTAAAGTTGGGAGTTGCTGTTCTACCGGTGAACTGAGAAAAACTGAAAGCTAGAAAGAGGGGGACGGAGAACCAGACCAGAGAATTAAGAGAAGGTTCTGGGGAGATATGGAGAGAGAAAAGAAGAGAGAAAGGAGGTAAGGGAAGGTGAAGAGAGGAGGGAGGAGTGAAGAAAGAAGGAGAAGGAAAGAATGAAGAAAGGGAGGACGGAAAGAGGGAAGAGAAGGAAGGACGGAAAGGAAAAGAGAAAAGGAAAGGAAGGAAAGAAGGAGGAAGAAAGGAAAAAAGGAAGGAAAGAGGAGGAAGGAAGGAAAGAAAGAAGAGGAAGGGAGGAAAAGAAGAGGAAGGGAGGAAAAGAAGAGAAGGAAAAAAGTTTAGGAAGGAGGGAAGAAAGAAAGAAAAAAGGAAGGAAAGGAAGGAAGGAAAGAGAAGTGAGAAAGAAAAGAAAGAAAAAAGAAAAGAAAAGTAAGGAAGGAAAGTAAGAAAAAGAAAGAGAAGGCAGCCAGCCGGGAAAGAAAGAGCAATCACATAAAAACACAGATATCCAACATCGTGCTGGTGAGACGCCTCTTCTGGCTTAAAACGAAATGAAAACAGTCACAGGCGAAGCAGGGGAAAGTGCCGGCAAAGCGTGGGCTCTTCGCAAGCAGCTCCCGGCTCTCTCCGGCCGCAAGCGACCAAGGCAGCGCGGCCGGGGAGCGCGGAGCCCCGGAGGCGAGCAGAGCGGAGCGGCGGACTCTCGAGCGCGGCCCAGCCCCGCAGCGGCCGCCGCCACCGCTTCCCGGCTCTTCTGCTTGCGGCTCGCCTCCCCGGCCGCGGTCCCCGAGCGGTACCCACCTCTGCGCCGCCGTGTTGGCGTCCAGCACCCCGGCGCCCTGCATCCACGTCCGCACCGCGTTCATGCCGCTGCCCAGCGGCTCTTCCTTCATGCTGCTTCCACTCCGTTGGATGCTTTCCTGAATCCCAAACATGAAAACAACCTTTTCTTGTGGAAAATCTCCTCCCCCTTGAAAATATTGAAAAAAAAAAAAAAAGGAAAGAAAAACGCCAGCCAGAGATTTTTTTTTTTTTTTTTGAGACGATGAACTCGTGCTAGAAGATCAAGGCGGGCTGGAAAGCAAATTTTTAAAAAATGTAAACCTTCGCTCAAAACTGAGCGATAACCCGAAAAAAAAGGAGAGGAAAAAAAAAGAAGGGAAAATCCAACGAAAAGACCAAAATAAAAAAATAGAGATGTATGCTTGGCTGTTGGGGGTTGTTTGGTTGGTTAATTTTTGGTTTGGGTGCTTTTTTTTTGCTTTTTTTTTTTTTTTTTTTTTTTTTTTTTTTTTTTTTGTAATGATCACAGGCCGGTGGAGGACAGGAGGGGCTGGAGTTTCCTTTTGTAGAGGTACCCTTCACTTGAAGAAGCAGGAAGAAAAAAAAAAAGCCCTGATGGCAATTTAAGAAACAATAGACTCAACTCGCGCTGCCGGCTTTGCTACTTCAAGTGTCATTTTCCACAACCAGGCAAGTTTTTTCCTCTCTCTCTCTTTTTTTTTTTTCCTCCTTCTCTCCCAACCAAAGATGTTTCTTTCCTTTCAGTGCGTATAGATGAGGAGGACGCTGGTTGCCGTAGACAGATACACCAGAGAGGGAGAGTGGGGTGGGGGGAAGGGGGGGAGAGAGGGAAAGAGGAAGGGGGGGAGGGAAAGACAGAGAGAGAGAGAGAAAGAGAGAGAGGAGAGGGAGAAAGAGAGAGGGGTGGACCCTGCTGGATGGAGATTCTGTTTTCTCCTTGCTAAAATAGAAGTGATTTGCAGGCTTTCCCTATGGAATCCAGTTTGACTCTCCCCAGAGCTAAACACAGGCACACTAACCCCAAAGGGAGGAGGCGGAGCTCGCGCCTCACAGGCCTGCCCCTTCATTTGCATAACGTCATCCTTCCGCCTCGCTGCAGCCAATCGCGGCTCAAGGAGCCTCCTGGCTCGCAGCGCTGGGCCACGCTCCCTCATTAACATCCCTCTCCGGGTGGCGCAGGGGAGCTAGCCAAAGTTCCTCGCAAAGTGGCGAGCGAAGGATCGCTGAACACCGGCGTCTATGCTGGGGAAGAGCTGGGCTGAGCTGGGCAGAGCCGGGCTGGAGAGGGGAACAGACGGAAGGGAAGGGCGATATTTTTCTCAGGGATTTGAGCTGGGGTCTGCATCCTGGTCGTTGCGGTCCATTTAGCATCCTCGCCACGCCCTGAGCGCGCTCGCGGTGCACTGGCTGCGCCCTCCCAGGGCTGATGCTGCGTCCTGCTCCGCTGTTCTGGGACGTCGGGGGCAAAAGTGGAGGAGACGGGAGAGTCCGGGCAGAAAAAGCAGGACGCGCGTCCCAGGTGCCCACCTCTTCGCTTTGAGGAGGGGGTGGTGGGGTGGAAAAATGGGTGCTCGAGGGTGGGGCGGGAGATCGCGGAGGGTACTTTTCTCCACGCCGGAGAGGTGGGTGAATCCTGGGCCTCGGCAAGCGAGGCTCTGTGGGTCCTCCAGGGAGTAGGGAGATCCGGACTCTGCCCGTAGTCTGGCTTCTGAAATAGTTCTCGCTCAGACGCTAGTCTCAAGACCGCCGGTGTTAGTCACTATCCTCAACAAGCTCACCTATCTCGAGTAATCCGCGGGATATGTGGACGGTGGACTGAATGCTGTCACGGAGTTGGATCGGGATGCTTTTTAAAATTTATTCAGATTCAATTCCCAACCCCTCACCCCTGCGCCAAAGTGTTTTTTTCTTTAGAGTGACTACCAAAGCAACAACGTCTCTGATTAGTTTGTTATTTGATGTAGGATTTCTCTCTTCCTCATTCTTTCTGTTAAAATGGGGACTTGAACAAACCCTCCCCAACTTCTGCTCCTATCAGCTGTCCAGAAAGTGAGAGAGTGAGTTAAGAAGGTGGGGGATGGGGGTAGGAGAGAGGGAGGGAGAAATGGTCTACTATTTCAGACCTTTCTTTATATATGCTTATGGCTGGCAAAGAAAATAGCTGGAAGTTTCTGGGTAATGTGCCCCATCATTTTTTAGCAGGTTGTAACCTCTAATAAGCACATGGTGAACTGTTTCATTGCCCTCAAAGGAACTCCCTGACTGCAGCCAAATCTGCCAAGGACTCCTTAGGGGAAATTCTCTGCCAGAAGTCCAGGTCCCCTTTCTGCTGGCCTTTCTTGGCCCCTTGATTTAGGAAGCTCATGGGGTCAGTGACGGAACAGTACACATGCCCATGTTGAATGGATGGAGACAGGCAAGAATTACGCTTTGTGCTCTTGGCAGAGCAGGAAAGTGAGAGCCACTTCCTGATTCCTAAACTGGGC